CCGCCACAAAATCCTAAGCCAATGAAAACTGCAGCAAAAAAGAAAAAAATGAAGGAAAATAATTATTATCAACCGAAGAAAAATCCAGAAGAATGAAAGAAGCACAGGCTTTTCTGCATGGAGGTTGTTTTTATTTCAGTTTCTCCTTGCTCTTTAACAGAACCTTTTTCACATCCCTCTTCTTATTTATTTGGGAATAGGGTGCTTTAGGACTGAACACATACTAGAGGAATGCACGGTATGTCCACAGGCCGTAACAAAAGCATTGGACTTTTAGTTTGCTTTGTCTGTAGAGCTATGGGCAATCAGCTTTCACTAGCTATGTAGTTGTAAGATGCTCTGTGTCTCCATCAGCCTTAGTAGGGACTGCAAGTAAGTAGGTTGCCTTTTTGACTTTCTCAAATTTGCTTTCTATGTGCCTTCTCAGCTATAAAATCACAAGTTAATATTAGTTGGTTTTCCTCTGAGCTAAAGTATTACCTCTATCAGATTATTTAAATGTGTTACCTTCTGTGTGGACCTGTTTTAAGTGTATCTTAGAATCTAATAGTTAAAGCTAAACTGAAAGAAGGCTGCTTAAAAGTACTTGGGAAAAAATTCAAAGTCTGTCAGTCTAAAGGATTCTGGCAGTACGGGCCTCTTCTGGTTGTCCTCTTGGGGCTTTCCGGATGGCTGGTTTGCATAAGGGCAGTTGTAAGGTATGAAATGAAAGGTGCAGATATTCTAATATTCCTGCCTCTGAGATGATGAATTAAGCAATAACTCAGGCAATGCATGGCTAAAAGAAAGGGTGTAAGAACAGGATAAACTTTGGTCAATAAAGAATAATTAATCCTTCAAGTCCTTGTGTGGTCAGAGTACAGGGAAGTGAGCAAGTAAGTAGGCAGCAAACATCAAATTGGGTGATGGATGAGTCTAGCAAGAGGCTAAACTGAATTGTTCACAAGCATCTTTGTTCTGTGGGGGTCCCGCAGGTGGGCAGGTGGTGGCTTGGACAGCTCCCTCTGGGTCCTAGTTTCCTTTCCTTCAGTGGCAGGAGTTGGAGCTTCTCAGTCCCAACTGTGTCCTCCTGCCTCTTCAGGAGCCATCGGAGAAGAAAAGCAGAGGCACGGAGTGGGACGGCGAGGCAAGAGTGGGCAAGAGGAGCAGTGGCTGTGCACATCTTCAGACTGCATCTGTCTTTGGCTGTACCATTTTACCATCCTGCCCTCAAAACAGAGCACTGCTGACTTAGTGGAAGTGGATTTACCTGATGGGGCTGCAGTGTGCTTATTGCACCCCCCTAACACATACAACCAGGCCACTGAGCAGGATGGAGGGCGCTTGGCTCTACAGCATCTGCATTTTGTTCACAACTTCATTCAGTTGTTGAGCTGCAAGTGAAGGTCCATCATAATGAGCTGTAGTGGAGATGTACAATCAGTCATGAATTCTAATCCTGGCTTTTTTTAAGTCCACATCACATTTCATAAACTTAAAACATAAATCATTTCATAACTTAAACACCCAACCTGTTGTGATATGAATTCAAGTGCACAGTCTCTATATACGGGGGCTAGGTATAAAAAAAATAAAAAGGGAAAAGTCTTTATTAATAAACCTGTTTGTATAAATGTTTGCCCGCAAACTGGGGATTTACCTGTCTCATAAATTGTGTATGTTTTAAATGCTAGGCTGACTTCTGCATTACTGAGAATGTTCATTAGGGTCCAAGGAGTTTCCTTGTTCCACTGCTTATGTGGCTTATTTTCACTGTAGTTTATAACACCACCACCTGGGTAGAAAATATTCATAAATACTACTTAGATAAAATGGCACTAGCAGTGTGGAATACATTCAAGATAACATTCAAGAGAGAAATAGAGGACGAGTCTAGGTATTTCCATCTGTAGCACCACTGACCTCTCAGAAAACTAAGGTTGACACTGTCAGCATTAAAAGTTACAGAAAGGTCACAGTGGAACTTTTTACTGCCAGGGAGCCAGCAGAAACAGGCTGAGGGGTGTGAGGAGTCAGAGTCTCTGCTGTCTTATGTGGTGGCTCTGTGAATCTCACAAAATGGAGCCTGAGGCCATTTTTGTGCCTTTTAATAGCGGAACACCTAAATATACACATTTTTCTGTCCTTTTCCCTTGTGCATATAATTATCATGCAACATTCCTACCACAGCTGGGGAATTTTCTGACTACTCATATTTTGACTATTTATTTCCACAGCATTTATTCAGAGTTCCTTACAGTACATATCTATAATCACATTAAATAATTATAACAATTGCATAGTGAGGGGCATTTTAAAATTGAAACATTTTTCAGAAGAAATCTCACATTAAGTGTTTTAATTAAAAGCTGCTGATGTAGAAGAAAAAAATCTCTGCCTCACATCTGAGGTACATCATTGATAGTCATTGTCATTGGCCTTATCTGTATGTTAATGACAACAGAACTACAGACATTTTATGCCCTGAAAACTAAACCACTGACACCATGAAGCCAGTTGCAACTGCACAGTATCTATTCCTGCACTGCATTTCACACTGCATGCCCTTTTTTGACAGACAATCTCAGTTTTTGAAGCTAAGCACACATGCAGTTACTTCATACTTGTGGTTTTATTTTTTTTTTTTTTACATTTAAGAACAGAAGCAACATAAGGATAAATTATTTATATTCCCAGGGAAAACAAGACGCACCCAAATATTAAACTTCTCAGATTGACAGGCCTATGAAAAGGAAAAAAAAAATAAGCCCCGTGGCAACACATTTTTAAAAATATACCGAGTACAGCTGAGTCAGGCTGTGTTGTAATGTGCCCATAGGTGACATCTTGGCTACCTGTGACTTAATTCTCCTCACCTGAAATCTCACGTGAGCCCTAAAACCTGGTGAGAATTATGTTCAGACTACACTGTTTCCACAACAGCCTGTTCTAAATGTTCCCCTGAAGAAATGAAAACACATACATTTTTGCAGAATCCCAAACCTTAGAAAAACAAGAGAGGGTTTTTTTGTTTGTGTTTTCTGTTTTGACGGGGTTATAAGGAAATCCACATTGGAACGAAACTAAATATGGGAAAAATCAAAAAGTTAGAGTGGCATAAAATGCTCAGGAAAACTGCAATTTGAAACAGATGACAGCTGATCTAGTAGGCTGATCTATGGTTTAGCATACTAATAATTTTTTATAAGGACTTTTCTATCATACAGAACATTCTAAATTACTAAAATACAAATACTATATTTATATTTGAATACTTACCCTATTTTCTTTCCTATTATTGGAGCTTCCACCAGCCATGACACTACCTGATACATTAGGTAACAGATTGAAGAGTTAACACCTTTAGCAAACATTTGTAGTAAAGTGGCATTCCAGAGGAATGACAGCAGTGCTACTGAACCAATCAATAAAAAATTATGTGATAGCTTCTTCACACTTCTGTCAACAGAACTCATACTCAACAGGGAGTCCCTCTACTGTTCAGTTCTAAATGTGTACAAATTTTGGTGTAGCTTAATTTATGCAGAAGAAAAAAAATCCAACGTTCTCTCTAAAAATTAAATAGTGAACATAACTTGCTTCACCATATTTTGGGAAAGAAAGAACTGTCATGTTTAAAATACATGCAACAGTTAAAAGTTTTGCTTGTTTCAAAACTGAATTATTTCTAGCACAAGTCTTATGACTAACTATATATATATTGCAGGTTTGCACTCTACTTACATTGGAATATAATTTACACCCATCAAGCATTTCCTGTACAGCTTCAATAACATTAGATTTTGAAATAATTGAAATCAGATTTGAACATATAATATTAATGGTTTATAGCTGTTTTTAAGCTCTCACATCACCTAGTCATTTTGTCATTCCCTACATCAACAAAAAGACTTACCCTTTTGCCTTGCTGCACTGCCTTCATGTTTCTTGGTTTCCTTTAATACCAGCTCAAACTCTTTTATCATCTGGAATGCGTATGAAGAGATGCAGGCACTGTACCATTTTAAACTTCCTATGTTACATTATTTGTTAAAAACAGTCACTATACAAAAGTGCTGCTACAGCTGACAATACCTAATTTCAAGCTGCATCAGGTCAATATTCAACTTTAATTTTCAAAACAAACTCTTTTAAAAACTCAGTTTTCTGAGAAGTCTGCAACTGTATTTATGGCTTTCAGAGTAGGACCTACACAACACATTTCATAGTTATACACTAATTAAACTACAAAAGAAAATGGAACCATACATCAGGGTTCCCACAGTTCCAATAGGAGGACAGTGCTTCCACAGTGACTTCTTTGATGTGAAGAATAAGCAAAGGTATATCACTGATGTGAGGTACAAAACTGCTTATTGCTTTCTACCTTTCACTACACTTGCACACAATACATTCTCATTAACAAAGATTTTGAGTGTCTTTGCCCCCATCTCCTGTGATCATCTTGATCCTGTAAAATGAAATGCTCATTGCACCATCCCAGCAGGTATCTGGAACCTGCCTGGCTACTGCTGGACTCCTTAATAAGCCCCAGATCACTGACACTGAGGGAAGTTAACCAATTTCTAACTTTTTGAAAGTTTTCTAATAATTTTGAAAATTTAGTCTTCTACAGAAGGGTCCAGTAGGTCCAAAGAACTGCTGAAAAACAGAGGGCACATAGTGGAGTAGGTGTGAGAAGGGTGGAGCAATACTTCCCTCTTTTGGAAGCAGCAGCAAATACATCAGTCCAATCTACAGTACAGCTAACTGCTAATTAAGTTTTAAGGAATTCCAAAACTTTTCTGATAGCAATAAAGGTGTACTTAGAGTGCACAGCTCATACCAAATACACCCTAGAGACCATATATCACTGCAGACACAGAGAAGGATAAGAAATTTAGAGCCAAAAATTACAATTTAATATCCTGCTTTGAAAAAGTGAGAATTCAATCTGTGTACATAACTGAATTGAGTAAACTCAAAATAAATGTAAGTAACTATAAAAGACAATACAATTATGCATTTAGCCTCTCCAGTGGAAACGTTTTTGCTTACTTTATCCTGCCCTGATGAAAAAAAAAAAAGATGACTGTCATACAGTTGCAGTTGTTTTTTATTCCTAGGATGTCTCTTAAACAATTTGCTGCAACAATAGTTATCCTTCCACACTTAGAAGCCTTTGTATTCCATAGACCCTAAAATCAGATGGCAGCCACAAAATCCTAATTCTGAGAGCAGGAATTCTGGTCCTGCCAATAAGAACTCTCCTACTGAGAAAAAAAACCATCGTTTTCCATCAAAAGTGAGTACTGCCACCTGCACAAGAAGTGACTGATACCTTTCTTGCAAGAGGAGCAGAAAAAAAACTGAAGTTCTAGAAGGTTTCTTCTCTCCTCTGGAAAACCAATTGCAAAACAAAGGTCACAGAACAGATCTAGGGGAGGGAATATAATATGGCTTAGTATTTTGGAGTCTGGGAAGAAGCTGTAAAAACAGTACTATCGAGATGCTCTCAGAAGTTCTTGCATTAGGACAAGAATGACTAGGCTCTGTAAATCTAAGTAATCCATTTTGTGCCATTATCCCTACATTATGACCAGTGTGAAGAGCTTTAAAAATATGACGAGTCAAAAAAAAAAAAAAAAAGACCAGCAAAAGATGTAAACACATACCTATGTATGTGCACAGATACGTACATATTTGTGTGTATATTTCTACATATATATTTACTCTCCCAAACAAACAGCTGTCTGTACAAGTTTTCAAATTTCTAAGACTAAAGATATTGTGCTCTCAGTTACCTAAGTAAAGAGGAATTTCTGCACTTTCATCTTAAAAAAAAATGTAATTGCCTCTTTCTAAAAATACTTCAGCTCAGTATCTTCTCTAAACCAAATACAGATAAGCCACAAAGACAGATTGAGACAGCAATTAAAAAACCCTACATCAGTCAGGCACTATTTGTGACCAGTGAAAACACAAGTACCTTTTGTTGTTGTATGGCATGCTTTCCCATATTTCTGGAGGTACGTAATAAGGAGTTCCCACATATGTGCAAGCATATGACATCGGGCTATTGAAACAATAAAGAAGAAATAGCAGGTGCAAAGCCATGATTTAAGAACTCTGTACTATTTGTGAATGGTAAAATAAAACTTGACACCACTGAGATCAGTGGAAATGTCCACATACTGTGCAAGAAGGCGTGCAGATCCAAAGTCTCCCAGTTTTACTTTCCCATTTTGAGTGAGGAAGATGTTCTGCATTTCAAGAGCATACGTTAACATACTGAAATATTCTTCTAGGAATCATTTCTGCAGTTTATATATATAGAAAACATAGTGGAGACCACTTCTAGTATTTTATATTTCCTCTTACTTGCTTCTCCTAATACTTCTAACACACACACACACACACACACAAAAGAAAAAAAAAAAAAGGCCTAAGAACTGTGTCATGTCCTTTGGTTCCATGACACAGAACTATATCCAGGGAAATGGGAAGGTTATATGGGCCTGAAGCCCCAGCATCATTAGCAGAGGAAGAATCAGAGATAAGAATTGCCTTAATCTCTTGCTGTACTCAAACCAATAAGGTCACACTTTCTTGTGAATTTCTCTCTTTCTGATAGGAAAGAGTAACAAAGAAAAGAATGTGAGGCAGGACATTTAAAAACTGCATAATCTATACACTTTATTTATACCTCTGTTATTGTTTAAATTATATGCAGTCTGTCACAAGCAATTGGTGCTATCAGCAGTTTGGATATGAAGGATATATCTATACTTAGACGATGGTAATACCCGCACTCAACACTTTGATCTACATGATATTCTTAGGCCTAAATAAAAAACAAAGAACTTAGCTGTCACAGGAAATTATGAAAGAGGGAGTTAACTTTTACATGCAGAAGAGGCCTTTAATGGCAACAAAACTTGCTCTGTTCACCTTGGATTTTATATCCCTGTGCAGCACACGTTTATCATGAATGTGCTTCACAGCCAGGCACATCTGCACAAACCACTGAAGGATCTGAAAAAGATTTATAAAAAGTTATAACAGCTCAATCCTGTATGTAATGAATACTAATAGATAAAAAAATTAGGAAAAGAAAACCATGTTCCAAATATTTGGAAGTTAAAAGTAACTCTAACATAATAGCCTCCCATCAGCATGAAAGACTGAGTTCAGGAAAAATTATGTTTAATATGGCAGAGGGAACGTTTATTACCTGTGTCTAGAAAGCTGTAATAATACATAACAATGATGAATGAAGGTAGGGAGTTGCTACAAGGCATTTTATCTCATGGTCATTTTATAAGCAGGTTAATTACAGTTTCATAGTAAATTAGCAAATAAAAAACTCCACCCACCAAACAACAACAAAAAAACCATGTGGATTTAACACATAGTTCCTAAAACAAAATGTGCTCCTTTTAAAGTATAAAAGAAAACTCCTAAAGATAAAAAGATGCACAGAAAATCTGAATATTTGGTTAGTTGAGACTTCTGGTCCTTTCATTTTAACCCATGTGATGCTTCTAACTGTGGCAGGAAGTAGCTTTCATTCACTAAAATGTCCCTTTGAATCTTCTAAGTAATTTTATAGCCACTCTGATAAAAGGAGTTAATGCCTGCTGAATACTTTAAACATTTAATTGCTACATAAAATGCAAGCATTAAGCCTCTTGGCTAGCTTAATTTATCTTGCCAGAGTGCTTTGTTTACTTTTCATTTGCAGTACATCTTACTGTGCTTTAAATTCTGTCTCAAGTTTCTGTAAAATTCTTATTTAATTGCATACAAACCCGACTGTTTTTCCCTGCTATCTGCACAATTCCCAGATACAGGCAGCAATTCCTTTTTTAATCCTTTCAGTTCAATTCTTGCCTTGTTCTGCTGGAAATTATAAAAGAAATAACTTTCCTATTCTATCTGTAAGTGCCTTTGTTTTATTTAAGGTACCTCACGGTGTTAGTGTATCTGTAATTTGGTTCATGCAGCATGCTTCAGTTTATGTGAAAAAGGATTCCTGGCCCTCTGGTTCAAAACAATGTCTTTTCTTACCGTATGTATCTTCAGGGAACAAATTTCCTCTTTGGTGTTTAATCTTTTGCATTAGACCTCCATCGTCACAATATTCCATCACTATATACAGATGTCCATCAGCTAAATTTTAGGTAACTTGAGAACAGTTAGTATTTTCATTAGCAGAATAAGTACTGGTTTTTACTGTAATACTTTTTACTATAAAGCTCCAACTACATGCCATGTATTATACATTACAATAAACATGTATTTTGTTTATAACATGTATTGTAAACAAAAAAAGAAAGTAATCTTGATCCCTGAGGAGTATGCAACTTGAAACAAATGCAGGAATTTAAATTTTTGTATTTACCTTCAAACGATTCTTTATAGGCAACGGTATTTGGATGTTTCATTTTAGCCAAAAGAACTGCTTCCTTCCTAGAGTTCTCTACACCAGATGAAGACTGAAAATATAAGTACACTTATATAAATGTCACATTTACAGATTTTCACATAGACATACAATGCACTTCGCTTTCCAAAAGGAAAATATTTTTAAGAATTATTTTTCAATTATTTTTAAAAGTTGTTTAGAAACCCCAAAGCCCCATCTTTTTAATCTATGGTTTATTCCTAGCTGAAGACTTCTTTGAGCTTTTTAGATGTTTGGATTTTAATATTTCTTTTTTTTTTTTTTCATTTTAGAGGATATTTTCCTACTTCAATTAATGACTTTTTCTACTTTAAAAGTGGAGAACTACGTAACAAAGCAGCACACACTGACTTTGGAACAGTCTGCTGACAGTCTGCATGAACTCAATATTAAGTCAAGTG